CCATGTATTGCTTGATTTCTGTTTTAATTTGGTCATTGATCCATTGATTTTTTTAGAAGCATGTTGTTTAGCCTCCTTGTGTTTGTAGGCTTTTTTTGTTTGTGTTTGTGTAATTTATTTCTGGTTTCATAACACTGTGGTCTGAGAAGTTGATTGATACAATTTCAGTCTTTTTGAACTTATTGAGGCTCTTTTTGTGGCCTACCATGTGATATGTTCTGGAGTACATTCCATGTACACTTGAGAAGAATGTGTATCCTGCTGGTTTTGGGTGGAGTCTTCTGTAGATATCTGTTAAGTCCATCTGCTCTAATGTATTGTTCAGTGCTTCTTTTCTTTCTTTATTTTCTTCTGTCTGGTTGATATGTCTATTGATGTGAGTGGTGTGTTAAAGTCTCCTAAAATGAATATTTTGCAATCTATTTCCTCCTTTAATTATGTTAGCATTTGTGTTACATATTTAGGTGTTTCTATATTCAGTGCATAGATATTTATAATGGTTACATCCTCTTGTTATACTGCCCCCTTTATCATTATGTAATGTCCTTGTATCTTGTTAGTTTGTTTTGAAATCTATTTTGTCCAATATAAGTACTGCTACTCCTGATTTTTTTTCTATTGTTTGCATGAAATCTCTTCTTGTATCCCTTCACTTTTAGTTTGTTTATGTCTTTGGTTCTGCAGTGAGTCTCCTGTAGACAGCATATAGATGGGTCTTCTTTTTCTCATACCTTCTATGACCCTATGCGTTTTGATTGGTTCATTCAGTCCATTTACATTTATGGTAATTATTAATAGGTATGTATGTATTACCATTTTATTGTTTTCTGGTTGTTTTTATAGTTCCTCTCTGTTCCTTTCTTCCTCTCTTATATTCTTCTCATGTTATTTGATGGTTTTCTTTAGTGTTGTGGTTGGATTTCTCTTTTCTAATTTTTTGTGTATCTATTATAGGCTTTAGGTCTGTGGTTAGTAAAGGTTCACAGATAACTTCCTGACGATGTAACAGTCTATATTAAGTTGATGATTGCTGTATTTTAAACACAGTCTAAAAGTACTTTTTTCTTCTTCCTCCTGCACACTTTACCTGTTCGATGTCATAGTCTGCACTCTTTGTGCATCCCTTGATTGATTTTTATGTATAGTTGGTTTTGCTACTTTTGTTTTAATTTCATACTTGTTTGGTAATTAATTGGTCTACTGCCTTTACTGTGGGTTTATTTTCACTGGTGAAAGCTATTTAGCCTTAGGAACATTTCCATCTACAGCAGTCCCTTTAACATATCCTGTAATGCTGGTTTTGTTGTTACACATTCTTTGAGGCTTTGTTTATCTAGAAATTGTTTAATCCCTACTTCAAATTAAATGATAATCTTGCCAAGTAGAGGGTTTTTTGTTGAAGTTCCTTCTGTTTCAGTACATTAAATATTTTTTGCCATTCCCTTTTTGCCTGTAAAGCTTCTGCTGAGAAGTCTGTTGATAATCTGATGGGGTTTCTCTTATAAGTAATTTTTTTTCTCTCTGTGGCTGCTTTTGGTACTCTCTCCTTATCCTTAATCTTTGCCATTTTAATTGCTTTATTTCTTGGTGATGTCTTCCTGGGGTTCCTTTTGTTAAGGGCTCTCTGTGCTTCCATGACCTGAGTGTCTATTTCCTTCCCCAGATTGGGGAAGTTTTCAACAATTATTTCCTCAAATAGACTTTGTATCCCTATTATCCGAATATTGTTTCATTTGGATTGGTCACACAGCTCTCTAATTATTCTTTCATTCCTAGCGCTCCTTTTTTCTCTTTGTTCTTTGGCTTCATTGTGTTCCTGTTCTCTAATTTCCATCTCATTGATGTCTCCTTTACTTGTAGCAATCTATTGTTCATTCCCTCCACTTTGTGTTTCATATCAGCCACTGTATTCTTCAGCTATTGTATCTCTTTGTCAAAGTCCTCCCTCAGATCTTTAATGCATTTCTTCAGATCAGTGAGTATGTTTATGACTTTTGCTTTGAAATCTTTATTAAGAAGATTGGTGATCTCTGTTTCATTTAGCCCTCTTTCTCTGCCTTTTTCTGTAGTGTTTTTGGAACATATTCCTCTGCCTCCTCATTTTGTCAGGGTTTCTGTGTGTGTTCCTTTGTATTAGATGGATCTGCTATGCTTCCTGATCTAGAGAGTAATGGCTTTATGAAGAAGGCATGCTGTGGTGCCCAGAATCTCAGAACTCTTTCCTCTCCAGTGCCTGCTTCTCCTTTGGATCCCCAATTGCTGTTCATGGGGAATGGGTGAGGTGGCCTTTCTGTTTATCAGCAGTGGTTTATCTCAGTCTGCTGAGGTCAGTGGTTTGCCTCAGCCAGGCCTATATGAACAGAAAAGTCTTTTCTGCTAGGATGGTTGTTGTCAGGGCTACCCTCTACCTGCCCTGCAGTGATGGCAGGGCTGCTGAGTTAATGGGGTGGGCTGAGCAAGCTGTACAATGGCAGGGTGCATAGGCTTTTTGGGGTGACAAGTTGCCTGGTTGCACAGTACTCTACAATGGCAGCAAGTCACTCAGTGGGAGAGTTCAGGTGCACTGAGGCAGCAAGTCAGGTGGTAGGAGGCTGCCAGCTGCAGAAGCAGCTAATCATTCCATGGCAGAGTGCAGCTGCTGCAATGAGTCCTGTGGGCACCCCCTAGCAGCAGCAAGATATGCAGCACCCACCTTGTCTACCCACAGGGAAGAAGGATTCTTGGAGTTGACTCCTACAGGCTTCTCCCCAGTTGTGCTGAAACAGGTCCATGAAAGCTGAGAGAGTCTCCCTCTTCCCTTCAGGCAGCAAAGTCCTATGCTGCTGGGCCCAGTGGGCTATCATATCATATCAGCAGTGGGCAGGACAGTGCCTCAGGGCTGAGCTGCAAGCGAGGGGTATAGAGTATCTAGGGCTCCCCAGAGTACCTGGCCTGTTGGGCTGAGGGAGGGCTAGGGAGGTATTGTCCACCTGCCCTTTCTCCTACAGTGATAACCTCTGTCCAACCCTCAGCCCTCTGGCCCCCCTCCCACTGCTAACAAATCTTTCAAACTGCTGCCTGTGCTTTGAATTTCAGCAGGATGGGTGGAACATGCCTGTTCTACACAAGTGGCTGGAGTGTCACCCTCCCAGAGGGCTACAACTATCCCTGGTGTCCAGTCCCGCTAATCACCAGAACCCAATGCACTGTGGACTCATGTTCCCAGAGTAGAACTCCAGGGCCAGCTGTGCAGAGTTCCTTGGTGCCTATTCCCTCCCCACTCAGTTCATCTTCCTCTCTCCTGTGAGATGGGATGGAAGAAGGGATAGGGTCCTGCTGTATCATGGCTCTGCCACTTTAACCTTTTCTGTGTGGTCTTCTCTTCTTCCCCAGGTGTGTTTTGCAGTCCACAGGTCATTTTCAGGTTTAGTTGTATTTGCTATAGTTGCTTCCTTGGTTTGTGTGGGGTAGGGGAAGGTTTCCATCTTGCCTTCCTTCTCTACCATCTTGAACCTCTGAGTCTTTGTGGAGCCTTTTTATTAAGAATGCTAATCAGACTCTTAAGGACTTCCCCCTTGTAACCGAATCATCTCCCAAAGACCCATCTCCTAATACCATTGCATTAGGATTTACGATTTAATGTATAAATTTGGGTGGACACAATGTCCATACCCTTACAATACTTAAGTAGTTAATTAAACTTACATCTGAATTTAGAGACTTAGTATGCTTAATTTTCTACTGTTTATTGAAGGAAATTTGGAAAATCTGGGCAGAGCACAAACACCATGAATATGAACAGCATTTTAGCATTTCCCATACGAAGAGTGGATCAATATAACTTTGTTGTTAGTTTGGCAACTTAAAAATTATCTGGTATAATTTTGTTTGATACAATATATATAATTTTGTATTTGAGCTTATTGAAAGCAAATGTGTTCTTATTGGCTATAAAAAGCCATATAAACATAGAAAAAAATTTTAATATAAATAATTGTGTTTAGGGGGAAGGTCCTAAAGCCAACTCTACTCAAGGGATGCCTTGATAGCAATGATTGTTTACCATCTGGAGTGACAGAAGAAAGTGATATTGGGTAACTAACATCTTAAGAAGTTTCACCTCAAGTTTATGTAATATTCTTAATAGCCACAAAAATAGACTATTAACAATGCTATTGGTTGCTCCATTTTAGTCACAGGGTGGGAAGTTTTACTATTTATTGATTATGTACTGATTAATGTGGTCAGTCTCTTTGCTCTAAATTTATGATATATGGAGGGAGTTTTTAACAGAATGGATGTTTTTATGTGGTATCAATATTTTTATAGGGCCACTGGGCAATATTTTAAATCCTTTTGAAGCTTTTTTAGCACCCCATGGATATAATGTAGTGTAAGATAAATGGATAAATATTCAAAATTAATTGTTGTGTTTTGCATTCGCCATGTCAACTGGACCACCTTAATCTTATGATAAAATGGGTATGATAAATCCTCATGAGAGCATGGAAAAATCACAGGAATTGCAGGAACATTGCTTTGTATAGTTTATTCCATTATAGTAAAACCATTCACTCAAGCATTTCTTGAAATGTTAAGTTTCAGTGCAGAAAGTTTATTTTAATGTTGGGAGTCCTTTGTTATTGCCATCTCACTAGATTTGTCCTGTTGTGGCATTTGTGGAAGAACAGAGTTGTTAGGATCCTCTGTCATCTATTTTGCAATACTTTATGGACAGTGAAAGAAAACACAGACTGCTTTGGTCTGCTTTTACAAATAATAATCACATACCACAGATTTCTGTTCTGCCTGTTGTTTTTAGTTAAGTAACCTGGGATACTCTGTTATGAGTTATGTGGAGGCAGCTAGTCTGACAACTGAAGGTCTTACAGTATTACCCCTTTGAGAAATAGTAATTTAAAAAAACCTAAAATGCAATGATACAGAGCTTTGAAAGCAATATCCATTTATTCAACTTTAGGTGTCTTGTTTTCGTAAAAGACTGCATTCTGCATTTTCAGGTTTTGAGAAGAAGCAGCCATGAAGAGAAGGTTCTTTGTCTGGTTCGGCAGCGCACAGGCCATCGCTGCCCAACAGCTGTGATGGTGGTGCTCATCATGGTGTGGGATGGCATTCCTCTCCCGACGGCTGACAGACTGTACACGGAGCTTACCGAAAATCTGAAGTCGTACAACGGTCACCCCACAGACCGAAGATGCACTCTCAATGAAAAGTAATCAAACCTGTTTTGTACTGCTTTGCCATTAGGACCTCTATTATATAATGTTAAGTTGTTCTTTAACTACCAACCACGTATATATTAAATGGGAGAACAGGATTTTAGGTGTTGTGCAAATAAAGGAATGAACATTTCTTTAAAGAGAGACTTCATTTCATAGTGAGTTAAGACCATTCTAGGATGTTCTCCTTTAGAATATTCTTTTTTTTTTGCTTCCCCTTTGATACATGATCCCACTTACCCTTACAGTCTGGAGGAAAGGGAGTTTTCCTTAAAGGAAAAGCTCCGCCATAGGGAATTGTACCATTTTGCATTTCCTCTAGCAATGTAAGAGAATACCTGTTTTCCTATGGTGTTGCCAATGGATATGCTGTCAAATTTGAGTTTTTGCCTACTTTAATAGGTGGTAATTGAAATCAGGTTACTTTTGATATATATTTTCATGTTATGAGTGAAGGATATTTTTTCATATGGTTAAGAGCCATGTGCCATTTTGTTTTGGGTCAACCATCTGTTAATTGTTCTAGCTCATATTTCTAAAAGATTGTTCACTTTTTCTCTGCTTTACATAATGGGGGCTATTAACATTTTATGATACAATTTCTAAATGTTTTTGCCAGTTTGATGTTTGTCTTTTTACTTTTGCTTTGTCATCATTTGCAAAAGTTTTTTTATGTAGTTATATCTGTCTTTTCCTTTATTTGTGTCTGAACTTTGAGTGATATATAAGAACATTTTTCTCACACAAGTTATAGAGTAATTCACCCATGTTTTCTTTTAGTACTTGTTAAAATCATAAATTTTTAAAAACATAAATCTGATATATTTAAAGTGTATGCTGGTCAATAGTGGGAACTTTATCCCACTATTATATAGAGGTCCATTTATCCCAACACTACTTACTAAAGAGTACTTCTTTTCCCCTTGATTTGAAATGCTACTTCAACAGTATACAAAAATTACATATGCAGTGGAATCTACTCAAGTTTGAATTCAGTATCATTGGCCTGGCTTTTAAGGTACTAGTATCTCATTTTTTAAAGTATAGAGGTTTTATAATATATTTTAATATTTGGTGGGCTAGCTCACCATTCTTGCTCTTTTTCAAGGCTTTCTTTTTTATTCTTTTTTGTTTGTGCTTCCAAATAAACTCTATATTCAATTTGTATGGTTCTAAGATAAATCTAATGATATTTTTAGTGAGATTGTATTAAATTAACTTACAAAGAACTGACACCTTTGTGATATTGAATCTTCCTATGCCGTAACATAGTTTCTCTTTCCATTTTATTTAAGTTTACTTTTGTGCCCTTCAAGAGTGTTTTGTATAGTTTTCTTCATATAGCTCTCTCTCTCTCTCTCTCTCTCTTTCTCTCTCTCTCTCTCTCTCTCTCTCTCTTTAAAACAATAAACACCTTTAATGAGCTAAGATAGGCAGGAGGAGGATTTTTTTATTTGCCTTTTTGGCACCTTGATTTTCCTCAGGGAGAACTCCAGCTCCTAGCCATCTGCTCGGCCACGCTGGCCTGGTCATAAAGCGACGCATGTAAGAAGCTTGCCCCCTGGAACTGCTCCTCCAGAATACTGCTGATTTGGGCATTCTTTTTCCTTTCATCATGTTTCTTAATGAATTTTCTTCTATCTCTTGTTGTCTAAAATCTCTTCCTCCTTAGGGGTCAGTATGGCCCCCTTGTTGCAGTGCAGGGGCAGAGTGCATCATGGCACTTATATCATGGTGTGCTGTCAATGAGCACAATGTAGTTCTTCACCAAGGTCTTGGTGTGGACCAGTTCATTGTTGGTCGCATTGTAGGCAACATCAGTAATCCTCATTTTGAGTGTACTAAGCTGGATCCCCAGGAGAAGTGTCCTACATCTAGCTGAAGGCATCGTCCGTATTGTTGCCTCTCGGTGCACAGGCTGTGTAGGGGTCAGTCTTAGTGTTAGCAGCAGGGTGTCCCAGCTCATACTTTGCCTGTTTTAGTAGGACTTTCTCTTGCCCCCAGTCTTGCAGCACTTGTCCCAAGAGATGCTCATTGCCTGCGCTGGATGGAAAGGGAAAGACTTAGGTGTCTCTTTAAAAAATAAAATGTCAACAAGTGGCCATTTAATTAATTTATTTGTTTATTTATTTATTTATATGTCATTATACAAAATATAAACAAAAATGTATATCATTCCCTCTCTAATCCTTACTACACAAGATTAATTTGTGTACTTTCCAGAGCATTCCTTTTTTCCAATTCCAGTAAGTGTGTAAACAGCATTTTTAATGTTTACTAATTATTTTGTTAAGTGGATACACAATAATATCTCTTGTATAAAGATGCTGCTGTAAAGGATATACATATATTTTCTTATTTAATCTTCCCAAAAATCTAGTAACATACTGTTTCACTCAGTATAGCATTTCATTTTTTAAAAATTCATATTTACAGAGAAGATGCAAGAATATGTCAGTGAACTCTTATATCTACTCCTTACCTAGATTCCACAATTGTTAATATTTTGTAACATTTACACTTACACACGTAGTCATATACACCGACTTGTGTTGTTAATTGATTTTAAAAAGTTTTTCTGGATTATTTATGAAATAGTTGCAAACTTTATGCCTTTTTCCCTTAAATAATACTTCAGAGGTTATTTCCTAAGAATGAAGACATTCTCTTCTATAACCTCTGTACACTGACCAAAATGATGAAAGTTAACTTTGATAAAGTACATTTATTTAATCTACAATTCATAGGCAAATATGACCTATTTTCCAAAAATATACTTTAATTTTCCTTACCCAAAATTTTATCTTTTTGGTCTCTTAATTTTTATAGCAGTCTTTGTCTTTCATGTCATTGCCTTTTTTTTAAGGAAAAAGGGCTAAATTTTGTAACCTATTGCTCAATTTTGGTTTGTCTGTTTCTTCCTGATTCAGTTCAGTTCAGGAATTATTGGCAGGAATACTATACTCAGTCCATTACATTAAAATTTACTTCAAGTTAATTTGTTCCATTATTGGTGATGTTGAATGTTTAAATTATTCTGTGAAAGTATTTTTAAGTCTCACAATCTTTCACATTTCCTATGAGTTTAATTTTAAATTAACTCAATATTTAAACTATATAATCTCCTTCTGCTGTATTATTTCACTAACATACTTAAATCACTTATAAAAAATTTGTTGATGACTTTAATTTCCTTCTGCAATTCCAAATTTAACTCCTTTGATCCCATTTTTCTTCCTTATCAAGTTATTATAATATTTTGTTCCTTTAAAACATCTCCCATCTTTGTAAGAAAATTTAGGGAAAGTTTAAGTATTTGAAGTATTCCTCCCCTTTTTTTTAATTTCATTGTATCTTGAATGATCCTCTTTGTATTCAATACTATCTTACGTATCAGGCATTTTCCTGACTTTTGCAATTAAAAAATACTAATAATTGTAATATCTAGTTTTCTGTGTTCTTTTTGTTCACTTTTTTTATGAATGTTTTTTATTTATATTTTTAAATTATTACACAAATACTACATACATTCTAGTAGAAGTTCCAAGCATTATGCAAATAAGAACCACAAGAGTATAAATTACTTCCTTGGTTTTATATCTTTGTATGTATATTCTAATCATTGTCATTCTTACTGTAGAGCCTATTTTAGGGCTTCCGAAATGCCCCAAAGTGATAAAATACCTATTGCCCTTTAATCAGTCCTCAGGATTATATCAGTGTCATTTAACAGAGGAAGGAGCCAAAGTCCAAATCCATAAGATGCTCTCTAATTTTCATTTTTGGTAGGGAACAGATCTAGGGCTTAAGATCCAGCCCCTTTATTTCCCTTCCTCAGACATCTCCAATTCAACCAAGGTTATTGATATTTTAGATCTGTGTAGTTTATGCTATTTATTTGGATTTATAATCTTGAACAAACATTTTAGTTAAAAATACAGTTATCTTCAAGTAAGTTAGGTTGGTGTTATTAACAATAATACTACTTTAGAGAAAATAATAATAGATGTGTTAAAATCAGTTCATTAGCCATGTATACATCTAAATTTATATGAGCCTGAAATGTTCATCTAAGGTATTATCCTGCTTTATCAGTTCATTCCTTTGCAATACCATCTTACAGTCGTACCTGTACATGCCAAGGAATTGATCCAGAAACTTGCGGAGCTTCATTCTCTTTTGGCTGTTCATGGAGTATGTATTTCAATGGCTGCAAATTTGGTAGAAGCCCAAGCCCTAGAAGATTTAGAATTGATCCAAGCTCTCCTTTACATGTAAGTGTCCTTTTAACTTTTAGATTACACAATGAATATATAAGTACATTCCTTTATATTTTTTAAGTAATTAAAAATATAAATGTTAAGAAGTAGTGACCAAACAGTAAAATATATATATTTGTAAGTAAGTAGTTTAAAATTCTAAATAAATTAGGTAAAGTCTTCAACTATCAACCCAAATTCCAATTGTCCCTGGGTCCCTCCTCCTTCTCCCCTAACCCCAGAGAGAATCATTATACCCCAAGTAGTAAGAATAAATAAAGCCATTTGCCAACATTTCAAAGACTCAGAAAGTTTACTACCCACAGAACTACTATGAGAGAATTACTAAAGGACGTAATCCAGAAAGAAGATATATGAAACCGGAACCAATCTGTCCGGGACACGAGGCCATGGTGAGCAAAGAAATTAGTCAACCTTACTATTAAGTTTAAATAAGTTGAAAACTTACATTTTTTAACTTAAAATAATAAGCCTATAAGTATAATTCCATAGTATTATCATTTCAGGGGTGGGTAGGCAGTGGGAGGGGGTGGGGCACATATAGGAACTAAGTGTGGTAATGTTTGTGCTTTGTTTGGACCGTGTGGATTTAGATACTGATTAACTCTTAAGACCAGTGTTTTTGAAACTGAGCTGTAACCAAGAGTAAAAAATATTTTATATTATAAATAACTATATAGATAAATGCATGTAAGTAATTAAAACTATCAGAAAACCATACTTAGCTATATAATATGTAACAAAAATAATACTAAAACACTAAAAAGTTAATATCCAATATAGTTATTTCTATTTCTTTTTAAATGCTAATTGTGACCTATTAAACTGATTTCATCAAGTACTAATGAGTCATAACATAGTGAACACTGCTCTAGATGTTGTCCAAAAAACATATTTGAGAAAGTGTGTGTTTAAAACATTTTTAAATGAATAGAAATATAATTTATAGCTTTTGAGATAATTGTGGGGAAAAATCTTTAGAAGAAAACAGTCCATCTGTAAATCAGTGAAAGGAGTTTTTAAAAATCATTAGGAAACAGGATAAGTAGAAAACACAAAACAAGACAGCAGGAATTAATTGAACTGTATCTGTAATTAGATTGTAACATCTTTTGAAAAAGCTCAGAATTAATAATGATCCCCTTAAAGAAGTAACTAAAATTATCTAGCATTTTCTGGAGTTCCCATCTACTGCAATTAAACAAGAAAATGGCTCCAAAGAGAGAACTATCATTTGCAGATAACATCCCATAGAAGAAGTATAACACAAAGTATATTAGACCTTTAGGGGGAAAACTAAAAATTTGTGAAGGATATTTAATCTGATAATGGAAAGGTACCATATTCAGAGATCAGAACACTTGGTAATGAGATATAATGTGTTCTCCCTTAAGTTTTCTTTCCAAATATATGATGAAACAATATATAAACATGTTAATAGTATTGATGTGACTGTTAAATTTTTATTCTATAACAATAATAGTGTTATATAATTAATGAATGCGAGATCAATTTTGTTTATGGTTTTTATTAATGAGTAAAATTTATATAGTGCTTATAATACAGGAAGAAGCGTTGCTTCATTCCAGGAATTGACAGAAAGCCAAAATGGAAGTTCAGCAGGCAAGGGAGAGTGAGGCGAATGCAGCAACCTTGTGAGCCATGTCAAGAATTTTGGAAGACATTGAAAGGTCTTAAGTAGGAGAGTAATGTAATTACACTTGTTTTTTTAAAGAGGTCCTTCTGGCTGCTCCTTGAATAACAATGTGGAGTTGGCAACGAATGGGTTTAGCAAGATGATCTAGCTATGAAAATAGTCCAGGGAAGGAATAATAATGACTTGGAATATGGTTATGACAGAGGAAATGGTGAGTAGTGTTGGTCTGGAAGGATTTTCAGATTGGGGTGCTGTTCCTTTACATTGGGTATGCTGAAATAGGTCCCAATTTATAGAGGGTGGATTATAAATTCAGTTCGGATACATTGAACAGGAGATTTCTAAGGGAAATCCATGTGTGAATGTCAGGTCAATAATAAGAATCTGAAATTTGAGGGTGATCTGTGGTCCAGATGATAATTATAGCCATGGATGTGGATATGATGGTTCTAAAGATCAGGTATATGATGAGAAGAAAAGAGGAATACAGAGTTGAGCCCCAGTAGGTAAAGATCTGAATGAAGAAAACTCTGTATCTGATGTACACATCCATTCTAATGAAACAATTAGAAAGTCTGGATTTTTACTATATAAATAATGAGCTTTACATTAATAAAATAATGCCAGTAGTCAGCTCTACAAGCTTTATTTGGTTTGCTTCTATCTGCCTACTTAATTTCAACATTTCTACATAATACATGAGACAGTTCAACAAAAAAGATGATAAATTACTCAGTCTAACTTGTGACATTGGATATCTCATAATAATTCTACTGGCATTAAATTGAATTACCCAACCCAATACTTCAAATGTTAGAAAACAATCAAAATCTTTTTCATAGGTATTTAAATCATAATTCTAAAGTTATCCTTTAAATAGATGGAAGAATTAATCTGTGAATATAACAGGAAGTGTTTTTAAATTAGGGTCCGACTTTCTTGACTATACTTAAGAAGCTACATTAAGTAACAGATACATAAATAGACAGATGAGTGGAACAAAGTGATTTAGTTAGAGACTGTGTATACATGAGTTTCTTTTTTCAGTGAAAGCATCCACATAAGTCAGCAGGAAACCAAAAGGTTTATTACTGGTGCTTTACAGTTGCCAAGATTGAGGCTTGTTAAAAGCACTCAAGAATTAACTTCCTATGTCTATGTTGCTATGTTCCTTTGACCTTTTTAATCTCGTGTATACTGGAGGTGAACTGATCCACGTGAAGGTCTTCTTTCTGTGTCCTTGGCATCCATTAAATCTCAAATGAAGCAGAAGTCACAAACTTTCTGCAGTCCCTCCTTCGTCCTTGCTCTCAGTTCCCCTTTAATTATTGTCCTCCTCAAATGTGAATGGATCATTTATCAAGTCTCAGACTTGATGTAGGATATAACCATTTTTGAAAAACTTTTACAGTGGTTTTTCAACTGTTGTTTCCAAAGCCTCCCTTGTCTGCTTCCTACCTCAGACTGTCATCTGTGACATTTTGATACTCTTGTGACAATTCTCCTTTGAAAAAGTTTTAAATGTTTCTACTATCAGTAGCAATCCAGGTTCTTGATTTGGTGGTAAGGCTCCTCATAGTCCTACCAATTCTTCAGTTTGTAGCCATTGTAGTGTAGAAAAGAAAATGCTTGTTTTGGACAACCATTTGTCCACTTAACTTCATTTAAAACTCTTAGCCAAGGATCTGATACATACAGTTGTGCCTTACGGGTGTTGCTCTGCCATCACTTTTATAGAAACTTGCTGCACTGTGTCAGAATTCTTTTCTTCGCTATAGACCCTTGTCTACAGGACCCTTGTCTTGATACACTTCCAGTGCCAGTGCTAGTGAATAAATATAAAATGTTTTTCATTTTTAGCAACATGAGCGCTTTTACAACTTACCTATAACACCAGATGGGTTTCTAATTAGCTTACAACATAGAATTTTAATGTCAAAAGACTGAAGCATAACAATGACTAATAGCTTAGTTTTTTTAATTCTCGTAATTTTCTATGGTAGATATTTTATCAGGGTATGTATGAATTGTGTATCAACCACACACATCAGAATGATTTATGATTCATTTTCATGCCTCAAATTAATATGTCATTATGAAACAATTTTTACGGACTGTTTTTTCCTATAGGAAAAAAACCTTGAGGATAATTTGCAGAGTTTGGCTACACGGTTAGCTCCAATTTATAAGCAGTATGCTCCAGTTGCTTATCAAAACCAGGTACGTTTTGGGACCTTATAAAGTGCTCTTAACATGGTTGAAATTTCTATATAAACAAAATCATTGTTAATAAAAAACCTTTCAAATTTGAACCTTAATGTATATATCTATTTATCAGATAACTTTCAAAATTATCTAGTCTTTTTTAAGAGAGTCTTCCTATTATGGCAATTAAATTAAAATTCCAGAGTGTCAGAATTATAATTTCTAGAAATGAAATACCTAAAAGCGTGAATCCATGATTAGTTCAACATATAAAATTTAATCAATAGATTATGTTTGAATAGAACAAAAGGCAAAAACCACATGATAACTCTATAGTTGTAGAAAAACATTTGACAATCCAATACTCTTTCATGATGAAGATACCCAACAAACTAGCAATAGGATATCCTCCTAAACCTGATAAAGTACAGCTGTGGAAAACCCACAGCTAACATCATGATGCATTATAAAAGACTAAACCTTTTTATCTAATATTTGGAACAAGAGAAGAATGTCTGCTCTTGCCACCTTCTTTTGAACATTTTACTGGAGATTCTAGTTATGGCAATTAGTCAAGTAAAAGAAATCCAGACTAAAGAAGAGAAAAAATTATCTCTAATAGTAGATGAAATTGTGTGTGTAGAAAATACTGAGAAATAGACACACACATGCAACTTAGAGCTAATAAGTGAGCTAAGCAAGGTTTTAGGGTAGAAGATCAATATGCAGAAATCATTGTATTTTATAGCCTAGTAATAGACAATCCAAAAATGAAATTAAGAAAAAAATACATCATCAAAATTTAAAAATGTTTTAAATTGCTTCCAATGACATCATCAAGAAAGTAAGTTGGGGTGGGGAAGGAGAGATGCTGACCAAGGGGTACAAGTTCTCAGGTGTAAGATAAGTAAGATCTGTAGATCTAGTGCACAGTGTGATGTCTATAATTAACAATGTGAATTATTTACTTCAAAGTTTTTAAGAGATCTTAAGTGTTACACTACATACACAAAATAATCACAATTGTGTGAAGGGATTGAGATGTTAACTAATTTTACTGTGATAATCATTTTACAATACATACATGTATCTAGTAAACACATTGTACACTTTAAACATACATACGTTATATGTCTGTAATCATAAAGCTGGAGGGGGACACACAAATTCCTTGAAAAGTAAAAAGACAACCAGAGAAAGTGAGAAAATATTTGCAAATCATATCAAAGTAAAAATAAGTGTAAATTTTTAAAATTTGAAACATAACCAGAGATCCATGTTTTTTGTATTTGTATTATCATGAATAGCATGCTCTCTCAAATTCTCAGCTTTTTAAAAAGTTATAAATTCACTCTTTACTGATTCACAAATATATAGATGTATATATCTACTTTTTGTAAACATCGAAGACCCTGCATATATGATTAATGCATTGAATTAGTCTTTCTTCCTAATGGAATAATGTCAATTCCTCTTCTTGTTCACCACCACCAATAGGGATTAGTGTCCTTATCCTACTTTTAGTCATAATCCATGGTTTTCCTCTATGTGTTCTGAAATGCTTTATCTTCTACAAAGTCACTACAATAATACAGCATAGTCTCAGAAATCTCTGAAATTACAAAATGTGATTAAGAACTTTGTCAGGAAGTGATTTTTACAATTCCTGAAGCAGATTCTTTCAGTCTCTTAAAATTGTGTCATGCATTCTTTTTTAGGTGGAATATGAGCATGTTGCTCGAGAATGTCGGCTTGGCAGCAAAGAAGGTCGTCCATTCTCTGGGGTCACTGCTTGCCTAGACTTCTGTGCCCATCCCCACAGGGACATTCACAACATGAATAATGGAAGCACTGTGGTAAGTACCTGGGTGGCTTTGATTCTTAGAAGCTCCATTGCTATATGCTTAGACTGATGTCCTTAACTATGGTTATGGTGATAAATCATATTTTATGTTCTGTTCCACATAGTGTATATACAGAAAAAATATTTGTATAAGTCATAATCAAAGCACTTCCAAAAAGTTACAGGACCAGCCTTAAACAAATATTTTGTTGAAAGTCTTCAATGATATATTTAATTATACTAGGTTTGCTGGGGAGTTAGACTACATGATTATTCAAAGCACAATTCAGTGCCATCAATTGGTACGTAGGAAGTTAAGCAACTTAATGTCTCTTTTTTTGCCATCTTGTACCTCAGGGTTTTTGTAAGGGAACTGTACTACTATATTTATTGTCCTTTTTATGCATTTTGGTTCTTGATGCCAGTATATATGAAGTTACATTAATATTCCAAAATTACCAGAAATTTGTATTTAGACGTGCATACTATGCTTACAGCCATGAAAGAATCACATACCCATAGCATGAGACCAATCAAGAGATACTTAAATAAGCTAGAAGACCCCAGAAAAAATTGTGCAATATAGTCCTTTTGTAAAGGAAATGAATTTGCTTCAAAGTAACTGTCTTCTCACTGCGTAAAACAGATTAATAAAGAGCAATTGCCTCTTTTTTTGCCCTACACCAATCTGGTTGGTTGGCCCTATATAAAATAGCTACAAGCCCTAAAAGTGTGATTACAAGTGCAGACTGATCCATCAAAAGGCACCTTGCATTCCTTGTTTGGTCAGTTGATGTTTATCAGTGATAGATTAAGGAGCCAAAATAAATTTTTTGTGTATCACTCCTCTCTGCTGATGTTGACTATAGTCTTTGAGACCAATGTTATTTCTCACTATTGAAATTATATAAGCCTGGCCAGATGAATCTTAGCCAGAGAGTGGTTCATCATCATCCCTTGGCTAGTACATTTTACCTCAATTGCCTCATTGCCAAATACCTGTGAAATTATGCTGGATTAGGTTTGGAGTCACTCTAGATCTGGTTCCTCTTCTCTTGTGCATGATTTAGTGATTGCTCTTGTAATGAGCCTTGTTCATAGAACCTGGCATCTCCATCTCCTGAGCCCTTGAAAATATACTGCCAACTTTCCTTATACCCTATTTCTCCCATCCCTCTAATTCTGCTCCTAATGTCTAGTCCTTGTCCCCTGCATAGTCTCCCTGAGGACAAATAAATTGATGTAAACATTTATCGGTGGAAGACTCTAATTTTTAACATGATTATTTTTAAATTATTAGCAAATTCCACCCAGAGTGCTCAATATTTTTGCCTTGCTGGAAAATGTGACTACAGATGTTGAGAAAATAATGTGATCAAAACTTTCAGCTTACCTTCTTTATCATCCGTGTGCATCTAGTTCCATCAACCCTGAAAATGAATTTTGACCATTTCATTTATTTCCAACCCTATAACATCTCTGCTATCTTAGAGTTTGAAGCTCTAGGACAAATGCTTGTAATGAAAAATAATGAAACAATTCGATTTTTTTGATGGATTTTTTAATGACATTTGAAAGTTAATTACCATTAGAATATTAGTTTATGAAGAAGAATATTAATATTAGGTATCAAAAGTCAGGAATTCCCTATATATAGTTCTGTATTTTCATTTCTCTACAATAAATAAAAGTAGCTTTTAAAATAAGGAAAAAGGCTGAGATCAGTTATATTCAAGACAGAATTTTTTTAATATTTCCTATTTTACATCCAAAAGAAAGATGGGCACACTTATTGATGTGCTCCTAACTAGAATAGAAGCAAAGTGAAGCAGAAAGAGAAAATTTATCAGGGTAAACTATTTGGGTTAATAATTTTAACTATTAGAATATAAGTTCTGCTAGAAAGAGAAACATCTTGCTCTTGTTTTGCTTCATTAATATGTCCATTTATTTAGTGAAGAAGGAAACATACCATCCTAACAAGGTGTGAAAAAAATTCTGTAGATAAATTCCACTTACAGGTAGAGGCGGAAAATCCTAGAGGAAAAGACAGCAAATTAGAAAATTCATCATAACTGAGCCCCTCTACCCAAGGAATATAGTATTATTTAAATCTTAAGAAATATGGTTACATATAGGCTAAAATAACATCTTCTTAATAGTTCATATTTAATATGAAGACAGTAAGTTACTAAACTGAATAGTGTTGGGTGGTTTGATATATAAGGCATTTGTCTAAAATTGATGTAACAGTAGTAACCAATGGAAAATTAAATGGGAATAAAGATTCCTTCCACAGAGGCAACAGTAAGAAGGTGGGAATAACAGTGACGCATGTACAGGACCTGTGTTTCCCATTTCATGTTTTCTTCCTATCAGGTTTGTACATTAACACGAGAAGATAACCGTTCATTGGGTGTCATTCCTCAAGAGGAGCAGCTGCATGTGCTGCCTCTTTATAAACTTTCAGATACAGATGAGTTTGGATCAAAGGAAGGAATGGAAGCTAAAGTAAAATGTGGGGCCATTGAGGTCCTTGCACCCCACCGCAAAAAAAGAACACGTTTTACTCAGCCAGTTCCTCGTTCTGGGAAGAAGAGAGCAGCAATGATGACAGAGGTTCTCGCCCATAAGATAAGGGCCGTAGAGAAGAAATTCATTTCCCGAATCAAGAGGAAGAATGATTCAACCACAAACAACAGTAAGACTTCATCGTTGCCGCTTTTAGGTGAGGCCAGTGGACCCTGCTCATTCTGTGCACAGCTTTGCTTGGCAGAAGGATTTGGACTTGACTTGGCACCTTATTTTTCCTCTCCTTTTTCTTTGCTACTGTCTTAGGAATGAGGCAGTAGGAAAAGGAAGCTTTAGATCAGAATTAAATTAATCAATTAAGTTAGCTAATTGTTCTTCACATCTCATGTTTTTAATAGAGTTTGTTTAGAGTCCAAGCCAAGACAGTATATTTCTACATACTTGCCAAAACTAAAAGTTAAGAAAAGTGACTTATCAGTATTTCTTGGAATGTTTTTCTACTTACATTTTTTTTTTTACATGTTATTATTATTATTTGTTCCCCATCTATTTTGGAGACCCATTTCTTCTTGGCATACATGGAACAATATCACTTTCTTGAAGTCTTCCTTAATCACCTTTACCATCAATTTAAGTAAGCTAGTCAACAAATACTACTGAGGATTACTTTGAACTTTCTAAGTTCTGGAAATGTAACAGTGAAAAAGAATTCCATTTAAAAGGGGTTGTCAGAGAAGGATTCACTGAAAACTAGGCATTTGAGTAAAATCCTAAGAAGTGACAATGGGCAGTGTTTTTATTTGGAGAAATAGCATTCCAGTCCAAGGAATGGCAAGTGCAAAGGTGAGGAGACAGGAATTTACCTTGAATACTTGGTGCACGCAAGAAGGCACCAATATGGCGGGAGCTGGAACAGAACATGAAATGGGGAAAAAAGTAGGAGATGAGATCCAAGAGGTGAGAAGGGTGTCTGAGCTGCTCATCTCGGGCTTTGCAGGCGGTTGTGAAGACTTAGGCCTTTACTGTGAGTAAGAGAAAGGTTACCGGAGCTTTCAGAAGAGAAAAGGGCTATGATCTGACTCAGAATAACATTTTGGTTACTGTGTTGAAAGTTGAAGTGGGACAGAGAAGAGAAAAATTGGGTGATCATAAAGAGGCTGTCCTAAAAACTCAGGAGAGTGATGATGGATCTTGGAGCAGAATGGCTAATGAGAACATGAGAAAGGTACAATCTGGGGCCAGGTGGAGTCAACATGATTTCAGATAGATTAGTTTTGGAGTGTCAAGGTTTACGCCGATGTTACTGGCCTGAAGAAACTGGAAAGAGATGGAGAAACCAACGATCATGAGAAATGGAGAGAAAAGAACAGATTTGGAGAGAAAGGGAGGTCAGAAGCTCACTTTTGTACATGCCAAGTTGGAGATACCTGTCAGACATTCGAGTCTAGATGTTCAAGGTGAGCAGTTGAATAAGTGTATAGTTCAGAGAAAAGTTCAGGCTGGAGGTATCATTTAGGAGGTCAGCCACATAGAGTTTGATCAAAGACAGATCCTGAGAATTCACAATTTGTAGAGGCTTCAGAGATGAGGAAGAACCAGCAAGAGAGATGTGGGAGGTCTGGTGAAATAAGAGTGAAACCACCAAACTCGGGCTTTGCAGGCATCTGTGAAGACTTAGGCCTTTACTGTGAGTTTTCTCCGGTGTTTCAAGGAGAGAGTGATCAACCATATCAAAGGAGTTCAGGACTGAGATTTCATCATTTGATCTGAAAGCTGTTGAGGTCCTGCCAGAGCAGATTCAGTAAAGTGCTAGTGAGAATGAAGTTGATTTATGGGGAAATGAGAGAGAAATATGAGAAACTCTTGTGGCTGGTAGCTGTAAAGAAGATCAGTCAAATGCAGTGAAGGTTATGAGTTGAGAGTTTTCTTTCTTAAATCGCAATTTGTAAAAGTTACAGGAAACTTTTTTAAATATACAAAGTAGTGAGTTATATAATGAATCTCACCGCATATGCACTTAGTTTAAAATTTTTTCAATACGTAGCAATTCTTATTTATACCCTGACCCAGACCCCATCCCTTTGTTTTTTTTGTAATAAATTGTAAACACCATATCATATTATCCATTGATTCATCAGTGTGTGTCACTAAAAGATAAAGAATCTTTATTACTGCAATAACCTAAAACAAAAAATAATGCATTAGTACCAATAGTGTTCAAATTGCTCCATGTGCCTCCTAATTGATGTTGCTTTTTGTGCCTCCTAATTGATGTTGCTTTTTTACATTTGGTTTGTTTAAATCAGCATCTAAACAAGGTCATACATTATATTTAGTTGTTATGTCTCCTATATATTTTTTTAAGCTCATTTTTCCTCTTTATCTTTTTTTCTTTTTTCATTATAGCAGAAACCATTGTCCTATAGAGACAAACTCAGCTTCGCTTTAAAAAGGTTACACCATGGCAAGAACACTGTCTCTGACTAGTACTCTTCTGTTTCTTCACATTAGGAAGTACATAGTGTGTCTGGTGTACATAGAGTACATAGTGCTCTTTGTGGTGTTAACACTGATCCATGAGCCAGGTATTGTCAGCCTGCTGGACTCACTGTAATGTTCCCTGTCCGTTTTTTGCCTAATGGTTTTAGAAACACTTAGCATAATTTTCTGTATTCCTTATTTCATTAGGAGTAATGAAGTCTGTTCTCTTCCATTTGTTAGTTGATCTTCTTTTAAAAAGAAATATTGTCCCTATCAAGAACTTCAATTCTGAGGTACGGTTCTAACAGAGAAATCAAATGCTTAGCGGTTTGCCTTTATTCATCAGTTTTCAGAATGCAAGTTAGTTCTCAAGTGTCTTCCAGTGTGGTCAAATTTTTTTTTTAATAGTGTCCATTTGATCTCATGGCCTTTAACATAGTTTATATTTCTAAGCATAGTAATTAGGGTTTTGTTCAATTTTTTGTTTTGCTTTGTTTTTACTAAATTTGAAAATGTTTTACAAATCCTGGTCATTAGAAACTCATCAAGCTGGCTTCTGAATTCTTTTATCAGGGTCCCAGTTGTCTTTGATAGTTTCCTAGCTTCTGTTCTGACAAGATATTTCAGGCTTATCTTATATAACCTTCCCTATATCAGCCGTTTCTCTGAGAGGTCTAAAGGAAAAAATGCACTATGTATTTATACTGATATTCAAACTTAGAATTATAGGGTATTCCACAACCTCTTTGATTTTTACATTTGTAAGAGGTGTTTTGTTTTTGTTTTTGTAAGATGAGAGAAATAACAGTTTAGACATTTATATAGTGCTGGGAGATTCATTAAAGAGACAAGGCAGGGAGAATTATCATTTCTTTTTGCTTGTAGCTCTATTTTATAGATACTTAATAGAGGTTTATTTTAAGATTCACATATCTGGTTCCATGCTGCTTGTTAACAACAGTCATCTTTCCAACTTTGTGTCATTCCCCAGGAGCATCCTTACATGCTATTTTTTTAGTAATAAGTACCCTGTTAATACCTATAAGCACAATATTTGCCCCATAACCCTTGTCCTTTTGAAATCTCACTCATAAGAACTTTTTAATGGATGTATCCAACTCAGTAAAAGACTCATCACTCTTGTGATCTTTCCTTCCCGTGATGTCTATTCAATCAGCAGTTTAACCTCTATAATGATAACAGATGCAGCCACAGACAGTAGTAGCACAGGTTTCTTAAGGTACCACTCCTGGGCCCTGTGTCTGAGTTCTCTTCAGAGAACTATCCTGTCTCCAGGTTGTATCACCTGAGGGGAAAGTTGCAGATTTTCTGAATTAGATCAGTGTTTGCTATTATATTGCTAGTTATTTTAAAACATGGCTACTATTTCTATTTCTTGGTCCTAAAATCCACTGCTCTTGCACTTGCAAATTTTTTTTTTAGAACGTCAGAACAGGGAGAATGTCCTCAAGCAAAATGATTCCATCTGATGTGTTTGTTTGAAATTGTCAGAGCAGATTACTTGCATTGGCCAGTATGATGATAATCTACGTAGTTAGTGAGAAAGAAACGAAGCTAAATGCACTTGTTATTGAGGTTTACAAATGGCTTGTTTGCAATTAAAATTTTTTATGTGACTTCCCTTTGCCTAATAATTAACTTTGCCAGTTATGATGCTTTCATTACCCAGAAATATTTATAAACTAATACCTATTTTACCTTTCAAAAAATGAGATCATACAATACCTAAAATGTATCTAAGCATCTCTTTGAGTAGTTCAGTATGGCTCTATGTAGTAATATTACCACCTGCATTGTATTCCAATGTGTGGTTTTAATATTTGCTTCATAGCCAGTGTGGTCATTTCTAATATCTTGCTGTTTGAAACAGTGGACATCCTTCTGGCTAAATCTGTGCATTTATTTGTGATTATTTCCAAAGGGAAGAATTCTTCAAAGAAAATCATTGGGTGAAAAAGCATACCAAACTACATGCAATTTTTAATGATTGTGTATGTATTTAACTCAAAGTAAATAGAAGAAAACTGGCCAACAGTGCCATCATCAGTGTCGTTACATTATTTTTGGAATGTCACATTAAAAATATTCTTTAAAGACAACAGCTATCAGAAGTTGTTTGTACGTACCCTCATATTTGGTGTCCTTTTCTCTGTTTAGGGAATAAAACCGAGACTTTGCAACCTGACATAAAAAGTGAAACTGAACCCCATTTCATCTTCAAAGGTTCGGACACTAAAACCTACTCACTCACCCCATGCATTCCTCACCCAGTCAAAGAGGCAAACTTTTCTCCAGGCTTCTCCTGGTCCCCCAAGACTGCTTCGGCCACAACAACTCCTTTTAAGACCGATGCGTCAGTTCCATACGGGTTTTCAGAAAGAAGTAGCAGCCCCACCTGCACAATGCCTTCTGCAAGACACAGTGGTGCTAGTGCAGCCGCTGGGCAGTGCCCTGGAACTGCACCGCCTGGGGGAGTGGTTCCTCTTCCCTCCTTGTCTTCTCCCCTTGCCAATTCCCTGGTTTATTATGAGCCCCCCACTGGTCCATCTGAGCAGCTAACTTCGCATCTGCCAAACCAGCAGCCCCCATTCATCACCTCTCCTCCTGAACTTGCTTCCTCTCTGGTGGAAGAAGAAGAGCAGCATTCTGAAGCAGATGAGCCTCTCTCAGACGACCCGCTCTCAGACGACCCCTTGTCACCTGCTGAGGAGAAGTTACCCCACATCGATGAGTATTGGTCAGACAGTGAGCACATCTTCTTGGATGCCAATATTGGGGGGGTGGCGATAGCACCTGCTCACGGCTCCGTTTTGATTGAGTGCGCCCGGCGAGAGTTGCACGCTACGACCCCTGTTGAACACCCAAACCGGAATCATCCTACGCGCCTCTCCCTTGTCTTCTACCAGCACAAAAACCTGAATAAGCCCCAACACGGTTTTGAACTAAACAAGATTAAGTTTGAGGCTAAAGAAGCTAAGAATAAGAAAACTAAGGCCTCAGAGCAGAAAGACCAGGCAGCTAATGAGAGTCCTGAACTGTACCCTGAAGTTAATGAATTGAACCAAATTCCTTCTCATAAAGCATTAACATTAACCCATGACAATGTTGTCACCGTGTCCCCTTACGCTCTCACACATGTTGCGGGGCCCTATAACCATTGGGTCTGAAGGCTTTTCTCCCCTTCTTAATGCCTCTGCTTTGCGCAGTGTGTTTTTTCAAGGTGCTGTTAAAAAGAAGTTATGTTGTCGTTTACTATAGCTTCATCTCACCCATTTGAAGGCCGAGGTTAAAAAAAAAAATTGGGGTGGGTATTTCTTAACTGTGACTATTTTGACAATTGATAGAAGGTGCACATTTTAAGCAAAAATAAAAGTTTTATAGTTTTAAATACATAAAGAAATGTTTTGGTTAGGTGTTAACCTTGATAGAATCACTCAGTTGGTGCTTTAAATTAAGTCTGTTTACTATGAAACAAGAGTCATTTTTAGAGGATTTTAACAGGTTAATGTGCTATGATGTAAAATCAAGATGCAGTGTTAACTCTACACAGCTCCTGGTGCTTAACCACACTGACACAGTTAAAAATAAGCTGAATTATTATTTCATGGTGCCATTGTTCCAACATCTTCCAATCATTGCTACAAAATTGGCATATTCCTTTGAAATAAACCAATGAAATCTTCTTTCTCTTAATATATCTCTCCTGTATAAAGTAATTCATTATTGTTAATAATGGTTGGAGGTTGTTCATAAGTTGTAAATATATATTTTAAAAGCACTTTCTATTTTTAAAAGTAACTTGAAATAGTATAGTATAAGAATCCTATCGTCTATTGTTTGTGCATATTTGCATACAAGAGAAATCATTTATTCTTGCTGTGTAGAGTTCCATCTTGTTAACTGCAATATGTATTCTAATCATGTATATGGTTTTTTTTAATGTGTTCTCTCATTCAAATATTAGTTACCTATATAAAATAGTTAGATTGTGCAAAATGTGTTAATTATCTCTAAATTAGAATTAGAAAGCATATCACCAATATTGATTAATGTTTTATTTGGAACTTAGTAAGAGTGGTCTCTTCTGATTTACTGAGTAACAGTGGCCCCAACTTACTTTCATCCCAGCTTTCTTAATATAACTCTTGAAACGGTTTGCCAAAGGAGAGGGACATAATAAGATTCAGAAGAGTCAAATGCTTCTAAAGTCTCAAGGTGATAAAATACAAAAATTAAGTAGCAAGAACCTCACCCATCCCAAATTGCCTTATTTGTTCTGAAATCCATTCTGATACAGAATAAGAATAAAATTCCTTTAGAAATCTTTTGAAGAAAAATTCCCTAGCATCGTCACCCCCCCCAACACACACATGAACAGTAGGAGTGGTATTATGAATATGGTTTTGTCCGTTAAGAGCCAGTCTAAAGTAGTTTATCTAAGTGTTTTAGTTTTGGGGAAGTGTAGCTCATCTTCTCTGATAATTGCCTAGGTAACAGGAAAATAAGCATTCTTTTTATTTTAGTCTTCCCATTATTTTTTTCCCATTAATTGTATTGACTTACACAGAAACAAAAGGGATTGCCCAAATAAAATGTTTAGAACAAGAAGAAATTTCAATTAAATACTTGATTCCTGTTAAATGCAAAGGTGCTATAACATTCGAAGTGTCAGATTCCTTGGGAGCGTGGAAAACCTAATGGTGCTTCTCCCTTGGAAATGCCATAGGAAGCACACAACCGCTAACACTCATGATTATGGTGCAAAAGCAAATGGTTCTAGCAAGCTCTCTAAAGGAAAACTCATTGTAGCTAATACTAAAATAATATATGGTGCAAAGTATCAGTTTCAAGCTTTTGACTAATCCAAGTAAAGGAATATGAAGGGATTGTAAATAACAAATGTGCATTGATAGACCATCTTGTACAAGTAGATTTCTGCTTCTTGAATATGTAAAGTAGGGTAATTCATTGACTTGTTTTAGTATTTTGTGTGCCTTAGATTTCTGTTTTAAAACATGTATATTTTTGTGAGCCTAAGGTTTCCTAACACATATAAGTATATAAATAAGTGACTGTTTATTGTTTCGACTGCTTCAATAAGATATTTACTAGTACTAGACTATCAGGAATACACCCTTGTGATATTTCTAGAGTTTAGGCCTTAGCTCCCACTAGAAATGATTTCTTCAACAGGTTTAATGGGTAAAGTTTTGACCCTTTATCCATCCACCCATCTATCCATTCTTCCATTCTATACTTAATTGAATGTCTCCAAAATTTAAGTATTAGCTTTTGTTGTTCTTTGAATCACCACCAATGACATAACAAACTTGAAGAATTAAAATCCTAAAGGGTACTCTTTTTGAAAAATAGATTTTTCAAAGAAATACAGCAAATTTCCTTCACTACAATCTCTTGTGATACATCTGCAGTAATTCAGATCAGGCTGTCACTAACTTTAAGTAAGTTCGCTAGCAGTCTAAACTTGAAGCACCAATGTTAACTTAGGGGAATGTTGGAATTTGTGAAGTTAGTTGCAGTTTACCAAAAGAAGTCTGTGAAAATAGCCAGTCTCAACTACAAAGTTTCCATTACTTTATAATTCACACCATCAATGGCCTGCCTCAAGTGATAATCCCATGGTGGGAATCACATGAGTCCTACCTTGTTGGATTCTATTTCATAAAGTTTAACAGTTTACCATCCCATTGTCTTGTCCTGTAAATTTTTTTTAAATATGCTTATTCAATGTTCTGCAGCATTGTGATTGTATGCTGGCTACATTGCTTTTAGAATGCTCTTTTTCATGAAGCAAGGAAATAAATTTGAAATGACATTTCACTTAGAAAACTGGTCATCTAACATTATTTCTACATCTCTAATACATTTTATTATAAGGATCTTTTGTTTTACCTCCTTTAAAGCACTCAAATTGGGTTTTCAGTCTTGTGCCTTTGTTTATGGTATAATAATACAATTCACTGATAGATGATTTCCAGGTTAGCCCAATCTGTTCATAATATGTTAACAAATTTATCAACCACTGAGAGAATAACTCCTGCATGTTGTAGAATCCTACAAAATATGCATCCCTTCCAAATCCCATTTCTAATGTCTCTTAGGATAGTGTTGAAATTTTTTTTCTTGTGCTCATCATTCTCACCTATATCTTTCCAACTTATCTACAAGGTATGAAATACATTATGTCATAAACCTAATTGAAATATGTTACTGGAAAGTTAGCCTAGCTGAAAATGTATACCTGTAGGTAAAGTTTTGCAACATGTTAGCACAATGTTCACATCTTAACCTTCCAACATCTTTATTACACAATCTGCATGTGGATGAAATAATTTCATTTGTTAAATATAGAATTTCAACTAGATGAGATTCATAAGCACATTTCTTGAAACACAACCCCATTACATACTTAATTGAATGCATACCCTTCTGTAAATGAAATACCAACTTAATTCCTATGAAGTAACCTACTTTCTAATGTTCTTGCTTCAGTGGAATCCTAATGATAATCATTTATTTCACAATAGCATGTATGAAAATAACCCCCAAGGATTTAATGCTTAGTCTTTTTAAAACAAATTATAGTGAGATCTTTTATCTGGGAGAAAGTTTTGACACTGCATGACAACTTCCACCAATAGTGGGCATAGCATTACCTTTGAATATGCCACATAAATCGGTGGCTTTATGTGACCTTCAATAATATATAGCTACCCTCTGTTTCACAACTTCTAAATGCATGGAAATTTTTTTTGTCTAGTTTTAATGCAGCTGAGTTGTGAACTTCTGTAGAAATTTATGATGATAATTGTGAAAGTAATATGGCATGGCCTCTCACAGCACTGGAAGACACACCTTAGAAGTCATTGAGTTCAATCACCGGGGCCCGGAAAATAGATGTCAATGTCAGTGTCTAATTACATTTGTAATTAGAATGTAAAGTCAAAGGAAGGCCACTTTGTGCTTAGGAGGATTATAGGGGAAAAATCTTGATCTGCTCATCCACAGGGTATTTTATCACTGGGAAATAATCCTATTTTGGTACAAGGCAAAAATAAAATGTCTTTGGGTTTTTATCTGAGTGGTTCAGGGAAAGTTAAGTTAAATAGGATCAAGATTCCCCTGGCAGTTTCCTGGGCCTTGTGTAAGAAATCTGGCTGACTTTTACCTATGAAGCTGTCTTGTTTACTCATCCTGTAAGATGTGGCAAAAGTTTTATTTGCTATTTCAGTAAACAAATATCACATACTTACACAAGGCTTTTATTTCCTCTGTAACAAGGGTTAGATGTATGTAAGGAATTACAAAAGATTGAATAGTTGAAATAATTGAGGAAAGTATATTTCCATTGTATATACTACCTAGCCATGGTTGTACAGTCTATATTCATTCCTCTTGCCAAGCTGGCCTGCCAGTTAAGTCCCAGCATAGCTTATTTTGACATGGTTATTTGCTTGTATTAGAATACTGTATTACTGGGCACAGCTTCTAAACTTGCCCATAAACCTATTGAACTCATAACTTCAATATCAGTAGTATGGCACACTTAACCAAGTGGTATAATCGTTATCCTGATTCCTGAAGGAGTCTGGATTTATCCAAATTTATCCAAATCAAATTGTGCTCCATGTTGAGCTCTCTTAACAGGTTGAAAAAATAATGCCATCCATGGGTCTGGAATGCAATTCAGAAAGAATCAGTATATCCTTTGTTAGAAGCTCTATTTGTGTATTTTCTTAGAATATATTGAGATTTATTAGCTACTTTTTGCTTTTTTCTCTTGTGTATAAACTAGAAACTAAGTTCCTCTGTTAATTTTGGTTAGGGTGGAACTGACATTTTACAGGACATCACTCTTTGTCCACATTGAATTCTACAAACTTTAATTCTCAGCATTCCAGTATTTGGATGACTTTGTTTTGATCCCTGTTTCTGCTGGGCACCCAATCAAATACCACTGTTTGCTTCAAAAGGCATGTATTTTATTCCTTAAAGTATTCCAAATGTATGCCTTATTTTGCCACAAGTCCAACACTAATCTTTTCCTTTGATGGCTGTGCTCCTTTCCAATCCCTGCTTTGACATCGTGATCCTGCCTGAATTACAGATTTTCTTCTAGTTTGTTCAGCTATTGGGTCCCCTAAATTAAAATAAAAGTTAGTCTAAGGTAAGAACATTATTACCGGATGTTAAACATGAGTTGATTTAGCCCATTCATGTTTGAGTGCAACTTTGGAAACTTGATTAACAATGTAAACCTAGTTTTCCTAAAAAGAGAAATTTTGTCCTTAGCAGCTGTTATGAAAAGCATCCTCTCTTGTCATACTCATCAGAAAAAAGTCTTGCAGCTGTCAGAAACATTTTCATTCTTGGACAAAAAGTACTGGAAGATAATCTGGTTTCTTCCCTATTTGGCTGAGTATAAACTTACAGTCTTTGAACAGAATCTGTTACTTGTTTTCTTTTCTCATTTTACTGAAGCTACAATGTCACTAAGTGTAGTTTCATCCTTTTTACAGTTTTTATCCTTTCCTCTGATTTTCTTTAAAACTCCATTGGTTTCTCTTCTTACTGTTTCCATTCCCTATGTTCCCTACACACAGACATTTGGTTCATTTTAAGAATAAGAATGATCTCGATCAAGCTGTCTTTTAAGATCATGTTTCTCAAATCCTTTTTAGGATAATACCAAAAAGAACCAAGAGCTTTTATTCAGCCCTTTTCAATTAGGGGCAAATTTGGTTTTTGAGAATAGGTCGGGGTCACAAGAACACAGGTTAGCATCCAGTGCTGTCTTTACCAATCTCAACAGTGTTTGACACTCAACTCATTTACTAGTGTTTGAGTATTTTATTAAAAATTGTATAAGAAGTTAAATATTCTAGCACTATTTCTTTATGGCTTTGCTATTTCTTGATAATGCATCATACTAATTATAAATTATCTGACCAGTGACTCGGAACCAGAAACGGGTCTGATCTATAACTAGACAGTGGTTTTCTGTGGGGTTTTTGGGGTTTTTGCATGTTTTCCTCCTTATCTCCCAATTTTGTGGATGGTATCTATCTATTAATGTCAGCGTATCCCCTGGAATTTTGTTGTTGGCAGTGATAGGAACTATAACCTGGGAGAGAGAAGTTTAAAAATGGATTGAAAGTACTTGGAAGAGTTCTTAAAAGATGGGTTGTCAGTCATCAGAAGCTCTTTTGAGCACAATAGGGGAAAATTAAAGGGCAGAAAGGGAGAAATGTATTCCTATCAGCAATCTACAACATCACTGTCAGATCAACAAAGAAATATTTCAGATATTTCACATTCAATACTGGGTTCATCTGAAAAAAGAGCAGCTCAAAATGAGGAATGATTTTGAAAGCAAATACGGTAGTAAGAAAAATTACCCTGTAATTACAATCCTGTGAAATGTTTTATGTTATCAGACTGCTAACTATGTGCTACTTTTTCTCCCCAACACTGAGGGTTGGACAGAAAACATGTTTCCCATCTTACTCATGAGGAACCTGCAGATTGGTGAAAATGCAAATTTCTGTTTTCTTGCTGCAAGTCACACAGCAGGTCATCCCATCTCAGACTAAAACATTTAATATCTGCCAACTACTAAATGCATTTCTGCACCATATTCTATGACTTAGTGTTATTGAGTAGAAATTTTGCCAGGCCTGATCTAAGAATAATATAAAGCCTACTTATTGTATACAAAACATACTTCTGAAGTATTTTGTTTTCACTATTTATTTGGCTAACCATTTTCCTATGCATACTTTGGAAGGTCTCAAATTCCCAGGATTTCTGCATTAGGACTTAGATTAATGAAGTTTTATTTCTTCCCCTGTAAAAATCTTTTTTTTAAATAAAGAATGTCCCTGTACTGCTAAAACAGAGGAAAACCTCCTAAATAACCACTGTTTAATAAATATTATTTTTAAAAAGACTAAGGTAACCAACTCATGATCAAAGTTTAATGTATTTGTTATATTGAAATGGAGGTTTCTTGAAGGGAATGTTCTGGATAAACTGACTATTTTAGTTCCTGGGCACTCATGGTAAAAAAGTAAAATTGTAGGCATCTCCAAGATATAGTACTATCTCCCACTTAATTGAATTTGTTTTGTTTTTTGTTCCACTTTCTTTCCAGCCATGTAAAATCTCTGGGTCAAAGGTTAAATGTAACTTTGCCCAGAGCAAAAATAAATGAGATGTATTTGTAAAGTTGTTGGTAGTCTCTCTATAAAGCGGTAGGATTTTTGGCTATTCCATCAGTATATTATGGCTTACAAATGAAAAACCCAGGCCAAACTGCTCTAAGTAGCCAAATAAATTCCACTTTTGATAATTCAGTAACTGCCTAATCTCACTAATGCCTGTTTGTGATGTTATAAAATGAGTGACGACACAGGACTTCACAAAAACAGTGGTTTAAAAAAAACAAAGATTAAATATTTTTTATCACTATGTACGGTCATATTTTTTTTAAACTATTATGAGATAACATTGTGATAGGTGCTTTAAGAGAAATATTTTTCCAGAAATGGTTTTATAGTAAAAATAAAGGGCAGCTTTTGCATTGTCATATGGATGGATGGTCATCTTTGGGTTACTAAGAAATCATGAAGTGTTCCCTAAAGAGAAATGGTAAAACTACTTTGCAGAAAGAAAAGCATTAATTTCAAGTTTCTTCATTTTCTCTTATGCTATATGGTGACCTATCGAGTAGATTCATATGCATATCAATACTTTGGCTTAAAGGAAAAGTCCAAGTGCTTTTCATTAGCGGGAGTAAAATAACCAAATTCTTCATGGTGAGCTACAGT